GCCGGCAGGAGTGTCAAGCGATGCCCGCCGAAGAGACGCTACTGCCGCTGCTGCCGCTGCTGCTGCTGGCGCCGCCGCTGGTTCTGCCGGACCCCTCCGGAGAGTTGACGCGAGTGGCGGCGGTCGCGCCGCGGCGAGCCAATCGCAGCTCAGACGGGGCGGTGACGTCACGTCGAGCCCGACTTAAACGGCCGCTCAACTTTTTCCGCGTCCTTTTGTCATTCGATCCCCAAACGAGTGCGCCGGCGCGACGTTTGGTCCGCGGCCGCTCCTTTTAGTCCGGGCGGACACGCGCACACGCACGCACGCGCACACGCGGGAAGGCGGCCATTTTGGTTGGACCTCGGCTCTCCCAAATTGGCGGGCGCACCCATTTCTGTCCGTCTTGGCGACGAAGAAAAGCCAAACGCGTTTTTCGGATGATGAATTCGATTCAAAGAGGCCGTGCCACATTCATCCGTGAAGTAGGGGAACGCATCAAAATGTTTTGTTCCACCCTTTTGCGAATGGAGGAGATGGGAAAAGAACGCGGCGGGTCTTTTTAGCATCTCACAGACTTTGGTGTCATTAGAATGCGCTACAGGAAGTCGGTACACTGGCCCCGTTCAACGTGAAAGACAAAAGTCGCTTGGAGTCCCCGCTTTGTTTCGCTCAAAGAAACGGAGGTAGCTCCGGGCTCCTTCCAAGCAGACGGACCACCCGGGGGCAAGGTGGCTTGGACTTGGTCTTCCCTCTTCTCGTGGACGTCGTCACCGCGTCGACAGACCTCTCCGGAGGCTCGCAAACGTTAGGCCGGCGCGACCGGGATCTTGCCGGCAGCGTTTCCAGCGCCTCGGCTCCCCGATTTCACCGCCGCGTTTCCGAAATCCGCGCCTCGGGCCATTTCATCCCCAAACCTCCTCACCGACCAACTTCAACGCGTCGTTTGTTGAACTGCGTCTGAAGTGGCGCCGAGCAAAACTTGTCTTTGTTCAGTAGGGTGCTAAACAAAGGCCCTTTTTTGCTCTTTGGCTTTGATTCCCCTGCTTTCCGCATTTCTCCGTTGCTTTCCGAGGCAACGTAGCGGTCAAGTCAAGAAAATGGCCAAAACACAGATGACAAACCATTTTCTACTTTTGCCCAGTCATCGGCATGCGCGTGAGTCGCAGGGGTCGCTCATGCGACGACAAAAAAGCCACAAAGCTTTCTTCCACACCTTTTATGTCGCGCTCGCTCCTTTCCTGTGGCACAGCAATGGCAGATAAAAACAAACAATCTTCAATTGGACAGGATTCTTTGCGGGCCTGCTTCTCGTCTTCCTTTCCACAGGTTCCCAGCGACGATTCCTAAAAGTAGCAAGAGTCCAAGATTCCTGTTGGACACAAACTTCTTCCAGCAGTCCTCCGGCTCGTCCACGTCCAGAGTGGAAATCTAGCGAAAAGAAACACAGCGCCACTTTGACTTCCAACCAGCTTTTTTGGTTTTTGCTTGGCGGTGGAGAAAAAAAAACAAGAGAGCGACAACAAATGGAGCAATGAAGGTATCGGGCTTTTTTTGAATATTTCTATCCAACACGGTGCCCGTTTTGTTCCTTCGCTCAATGCGTCGGCTTTTTTGTCAATGGCTTTTCGTTCCAATTTAACTGTGGCGAGCCGAGGTGGCGCCGTGTGACATTCGCCGCTCACCTGGCGCGCCAGGTGAAGGGTGACGGCGGCGAGGGCGGCGTAGTACGGGCCGCTCTGGCCGGCCTGGAGCCCCGCCGCTGCCAGGCCCGCCGTCATGGCCGCCCCGAAGCCGCACAGCCAAGGTTTGGTCCGCTCGCCCAAACGCAGCGCCGTCGAGCGGATGCCCGCTTTGATGTCGTCTTCCTTGTCCTACACGGGCACAAAGACGCGGAGGCCGCACTTTGAAATTCACTTTACCGTCGTCGTGTTAAGAAGAGTCCGCCGGTTTTGGAATTTTCGAAAAGGAAAGCCGTAGAAAATACACCGCAATCGGATCATCATACGAGGGAGCGCGTAACCGAGGCTGCCGCGCGCGGCGGCGCCATCTTGAAGACCAAGGCCAGAGCACACAATTGAAATATTGATGCTGCAATGAGATGATTGCCGTAGAGATGATTGGGACGCAATCATTTAGTTTGAGAAAATAGCCGCACTCTTCAGATGATAACGTTGTATTTTGTGCAGTTATAAATGTGACGAACAAGGCTTTATTTCTCGAGGCGAAGAAGTTCTTTTTTGAAATGGAATGTTGCAGTTTGACCGGGACGACGCTGCGCTTTCCCGAGGAAGGGGTCGCGCGCGCGCGCGGAGCCTCGAAGAATCTCTTGGCGCCGAGCGCACGGTCCGTCCATTTCCAGCGTCTCACCTGATGTGCGTAGATGGTGTCGTAGACGAGCGTCCACATGACTCCGGAGAAGTAGAGGGGGAGGCACACGGACCAATCGCAGGCGCCCCTGACGGCGGCCCAGCCCAGCAGCGCCCCCCAGTTGAAGGTCAGACCTCAACACCGGCAACCAAATGACACCGGAAGAAGCCAAACGGCGGAGGGCCGCGGGGCGCCAAACGCCACTCACCCAGCACCAGCTGGGGCCAGTGGGTGATCCTCTTCATCAGCGGATACGTCACCACCAGCGACAAGGAGGCGGCGCCCAGAGCGATGCTGAAAAGACGGCAAGAGCGACACACGCGCACCCGCACACACACACACCCCAAAAATGAAGGATTTCCAAAAGTTGACTTTGACAAGAATAGAAGTGCCTCAAATAAAGGATTCAAAGTCATCATCGACACTCATCTTGAAATTGTCAAGTGCAAAATGACACTCGACAAATGCCGGATGGATTCTAAAAAAACAAAACACTAAGAGTAAAATTCATAAAAACGGAAAAGCACGCTTCTGAAAACAAGCGAAAAATAGCAGAAGTTGAAAAATCCAAGTGAATTCAAAGCCTCCCCGTCATGAAAAAAGTCAAGCGATCGCAAGGCTGACGCGTACCTGTAATAGTTGAGACAGAGGAGGACGCCCAGAGCGAGGGACAGCTGCCCTCCCAGGAACACCAGAGCCTGCGGACGGGAAACGGCGCCGCACGCGATGGGCCGCGTGGCTGTCCGACCCACCTGCGCGGAGTCCCAAAAAACAAACCCAACGCGTCAAAACGCGGCGCGGCGTCACGCGGAGGCCGCGACCGTACCTTCTTGTCCAACTCTTTGTCCCACATGTCGTTGACGGTGCAGCCGGCGCCGCGCATCAGCACGGCGCCGGCGCCGAACAGGGCCAGCATCCCCAAGTCGGGAAGGCAACCGGGCTCGGCGGCCAGGGCGATGCTCCAGCTGCACGGGAGGTACAGCAGCCACGTGCCTGCCGCCGCCCACAACCCGCTCAACTTTTGCGACACCAAACCAAACTCCGCGCAAACTTAACATTTCAAACGCGGTGCCGAGGGGAAAGAAAAGGATTCCCCGTCCTCACAAAAAAATTAATAAAATAAAAATTGCCTAATAACTAACGTTGTCACCATTGAATATTCCGAGAATCCATTTTTCCATCGATTAATCCGATCATATTGTTATTTTGCGGTGAAATGTTTTACACAACCCAATTAACCAATTATTGTCATTTGGTATTGCCGAGTGATTCAAAAAAAATCAAACGAGTAAGCGATATCGCACAAGTGGGATTGATGTTGTACTCGCCGACCTTTTTGAAACCGATTCAGTTCTCCAAAGCAGCAGCAAATGTTTGCAACGACGGCTTTCGTGAAAGGTTGGAGAAATAAGGAGCGAGGAGTTTTGACGCCTCTTCTAGTCGCGATGTCTTTGTCATTGCAGCGGATACGACGAGAAGGTAGAAAGAAAGGACGAGAGCTCAAACGCTCGGCGGACTCGAGAGCTCGATCGATCGCGGCCGCCGAGCGTTGCCGTACGTACGCACCTATTGGTTTGTCCAGCCTCATTAAACGGAGATACGGCCGCACGGGCCCCGGGGCCGCGTTCACGATCGCCGCGGCGGACACGCTGAACCTTCTCCTTCCGCGGACGACGGACGGCGAGAGGCTTCTGCGGACGCCGGGACGGAAAGTTGCGGTCCGTGGCTCTTCCTCTTTGAGGAGCGTTTGGAGTCCGGAGCAGCAGGCGGGACGGCGGCGGAACCTCCCGAAGGCGCTCAGCGTACCCCGGCATGTGAGTTGGGTTGGGAGCATGGCGGCTCTGGAACGGGATTTTGTCATTCACGGTGGGGGCCCGTCAACAGGTTTAGGATGAACATGCGCACGCATGCGCGCCAGCTGACTTTTCATGCTTAAGCAACAGCAGCCAAGCGCGTCTTTCTGACGAGGGTTGGACGAGTTACCGGCGTTATTTGGTGGTATCGGGTTCACGCAAAGACTGATGATACTGGTCAACGGTGCCCTCTTGTGGCCATTCTACTATCGTGAAGTCAAAGGCGAGCAAGGGCGACAGAATGTTGTGAAGTGATGAGTATTGGGATGTTTAGAAGGTCCATATTCATATCAAAAGTACTACTTGGTATTGGTATATGTGAGTAATGAAGAGAGCTAGTCGTATTGGTACTGTATCTGAAAAAAAGTATCAAACATCCCTTCGTTATTACAGTTCTGCTATGCAATGCGTTAGCGCCACCCTTACACTTTTAATTGGATTGTTACGTGTGCTAACAATGCAAACTGCCATTGACTATGAAACCAGCATTGTCGTGGCAATTGTAAACCTCAAAACAATTTCTATTTGAACACCAGCGGTAGCAAGGCGAGCAACTGGCGCATATAACAATACTTGCAGGCAGGCATAGATTCTTTATCCTCTGTGAGGAAAACAAAACACATCGCAGCACAGTGAATGGCCATGATAATCACATAAAAGGGTGTTACAGGACTTTCTATGAATGTTATGCTTTTCATTTTTACTTCCATTATTTGGGGGGAGGGCGGACCGGTGACCCAGTGGTTAGCGCATCGACCTCACAATGCAGAGGTACCGGGTTCACGTGACCTTTGTGAGGATAAGCGGATCGGAAAATGGATGGATGTATATTTGGGGGGACGATTAAATACCCACGCAGTCATTTAAAAATCTGGTTGATTGGTTTCCCTTTTTTTTTTCCTTTCTCGGTTATAGTTTTATCCCCCCCCCCCACACACACACACACACACGTTTTCACAATAAGCCGTTTACTCACAAATCATGAAGGGGGAAATGGGCAGAAACGTGAGCTTGTTTTGGTGTTCCGATTTACGTACATGCTCGGGAACATATTGCGTGTTAGGGCGTCGTAAGGCGAGGACCGGTACAGGGTCATTTTAACACGAAACGGTCGCAGTGAGTTCAAGGGGACGCAATGACGAGATAAAAGAAAACCACAGACCACGATCGGTGGTAAAAAGAAAATCCAGGGGTCGTGCCATGCCCACAATTACCTGACACCGTTCGAGTCACCGGTCGCTTCCTTGTCGGGTGGTCACGTCGAAATTGTCCCGGACGGAAACAAGTGCCGAACGACGATGTTAAAAATTGGAACCAGGTCATAACGTAGTCTAAAATTCGTTATAAATGAATACATAACAATAAAATATACAAGGATAAAAACTTCGTACAAGTAGCGAAATAATATTTTGCGCTCATGGTCACAAATGACCTTTTGCAGTCAGTTCCTTTTTGGAGTCGTCGGTCCCCAAAAAGGTGCGGACAAAAACAATGCTTTCAATTGGACGTAAAATCGGTCGGAAAACTGAGTGCAAGTCCAAATTGGTCTTGAAATAGTCGCAATGACCAATTTAAGAAGAATTAACACAACGGTTTCTTTGTATCAGATTAAGAGGTCGCAGTTATGCACGATCGCTGATGTTTGTGTTATTTGGTCCCTTCCTGTTGGAAGGGACCGTCACGAAGTAAGGTGGAAGAAAAAGAAGCTCACAGTTCCAGTGTATACGTGTGTTTACACACACACACACACAAATACACACACACGCACGCACGCACAGAAATAACAAGTAAAACCAATTCTTGGCCTCTAAATGAAATAACTTGGTGTTTGAAAATGATCGTAGAAGGCGTACGCCGTCAGCAAAGACCTTGATTCATCCATCCATTTCCCAAAACGCTTCTCCTCACGAGGGTCGCAGACGTGCTGGAGCCTGTCCTATCTGTCATTGGGCGGTAGGCAGGTTACACCTTGAACTGGTCGCCAGCCAATCGCAGGGCGTGCATAGAGGAACAACCATTCAAAGTAACGATCCAGTCAACGTGGCCCGATGGGCCAGTGGTTAGTGGTGAGCGCGCCGACCTCACAGTGCAGAGGTACCGGGTTCAATTCCAGCTCTGGCCTCCCTGCGTGGAGTTTGCATGTTCTCTCCGGGCCTACGTGGGTTTTCTCCGGGTACTCCGGTTTCCTCCCACGTTCCCAAAACATGCACGGCAGGCTGATTGAAATTGTCCCTACTCAACTCAACTGTATTTAGGGAGCACTTTCAAACAGCCATCGCTGCATATAAAGTGCTGGTTGGATCCAATCAACCGACCACGCATGTTTTGGGGAATGTGGGAGGAAACCGTTGGAGAACATGCAAATTTCTCACAGGAAGGCCGCTGCCCGGATTCGAACCCCTGACCTCTGCACCGTGAGGCCGATGACGTGCTAACATCATGTGGCGCCCCAAAGGGATTGATACTAAGTGGAATTAATAGTCAGCCACATTTTTGTACACGCGACGTATAACATTTGTTGTTGTGATTGACGTAACGATAGTTCCACGATGATAATCATATCGAATAGAATTTTTGCGACACGTTCGCCAAAGACGGTTCGTAAAGGATGAAAAACTCGGCTTTTCGCATTACAATGTAAAAGCAACGTGACGAATTTCGTGCTTTGAAGCACGTACACGTCCGTCTAGTTACCTTCAGTATAAGAAAAGTAGGGCGCTTTGGCATGAGAACACGACGCGGCGGCGTGCGGGCAAATCGTCTTACTGCGAAGGAGCCGCGACCCGGACCGGAAGCCGATGTGTGACATGCGCCGGTCGAGTCTCGCTCGCGCGAAAAATGGCGGAAATGTGTCCCGTTTTAGCAGCGTCTTCTCTTCGAGGTGTTGCGGTATAAATCTCGAAGCCCGGACTCTTTCCAGGTGAGTAGGAGTCATTTATTCACACAGAAGGGAGCTGCGATGCGGCTGAATCGCTCGACGGCCTTTGTCTTCCATTGACTCGCAGAACGCATCGGTTGGAAGTTGTACTCGTCCACTTTATCGTCACTTTTGCTATCGTCGGTTGGCATTGTGGCCCCGATTTGACAATTAAAACACGTGAAAGCTTTTTTTTTTTTACCGTGGCTCCAATGTATTGGATTGACTACCGCGTGCCTGTCCCGTCGTTCCAGCCAATATGCAAAATAATAATCAATAAAAGCATCAAAGCCTCTCCGCACTTGCATTGTTGTGATGGGTTCGCCTGGCTTTCACTTGCGGTCATTGTAGCATCACTTCACGCGATGTAATGAAGTCATGACAAGAAAGAGAAAAAAAAAGGAGGTTTGCCATACGTGTCAGTAGGGCAAGGCAAACTAGAAACAAATGTTTTGCATTCCCTTTTCCCCATCAGTATTGGAAAAGCCGAGAGCGTTTTGACGTAACGCGGATGGAGCTTGACGTCACATTGTTGTTCCTCGGACCAGAGTTTACCCAAAGCGCGCATCGGGATTTTGGAACGGATGGACGATGGTCAGAGTGAGGGCGGCACCGCGCACAATAGAAACGTAGAAAACGACCACGATGAAGAACCCACAGACAAAACAAAAATGAATACATAAAGGCTGCGCGCACGCATCGTAAGCTTGTTTCTCTTGCCACTTTCTGATCCCCACCGTCTTGGGCAATAGAAATATGGCTCATGACAAGCAATAACGCGCAAAGTAAAACACAAAGCTCAGTCACGCACGAGGCCGCGTCTCTCGTAATTGACATTGTCACTCCTCCGGGCAGCAGAAAAGATGGACGGCTGACGCGTCGTGTTGTTTGTGTGCTTGTGAATGCCCGTCTAGGTTGCGCCACTGCCATGCTCTCCTACAACGGGATGCAAAAAGAGGACGACGACGACGGCGGCACGCGCAACCACGACGCCTCACGAGAACGGCCCCGCCAGTCGTTCCGGTGCAGCCGTTGTCCGCTCGAGTTCGAGGCTGAGGTTTCCCTGCTGGAACACCTCGATCACGTCCACGGCTCCCATCTCCTTTTGAATCAAGATTCTCCCAAAAGCACCCCGGGAAGCCCGCTTGGCGGTCTTCGAGCCGATCCCTCGGAGGTTTTGAACGACGTCGAAGATGGCAAGAAAGAAGACGTGACCCCAAAAACCAAGGCTGAAACCGCGGTCGTGTCAGCCGAGCATCACGAAGAAGAACGAGTAGATGAAGATGAAGATGAAGAGAGACGTTTAACTTCTACCTCGCGGGGGACTCCCACCTTGCACCGGGATCTGAAGACGTACAAGAAACCACCCCAAAGCTCCGCCGTCAGCAAGTATTCCGCAGGCGCCGACGGCCAACCGGACACGGACTCGGAAGACCGGTCGGACGGCCAATCGGATGACGGGTCGAACGACGTCGCCCCCGCCGCCATCGACCTCTCCAACAGCCATCGTTTCTTGCGGGAAGACCACCTGTACGTCGATCTGATGCGCCCCGTCATCCAGGCGCCCGGCCAGGAGCGCAGGAGAACCGCCAACGCGGCGGACAAGACGGGCCAAGAAGCGGCGGACAAGAAGGAGCTCTCCTTCGAAGTGAGCGAAGACGACGAAGACGAGCGGCTCGGTCCGCCCGCCTACGACTGTAAGCACTGCGGCCACCGAGACGACAGCCTCAAGCGAATGTCTGCCCATTACCACCAAAGCCACCCGTACGTACGCTACAACTCCAACTACATCCGGGACCGCGACGATCGCAGCGCCACCTTCCGCTGCCTGGCGTGTCCCGTCGAGTTCCCCAAGGAAACCGACCTCAGGAAGCACTACGGCGACGAGCACGCGGGGTCCCCGGACATTTTCGCCCTGCGGCGAGACCAAATCCGCCTGCTGTTCAAATGTTTCACCTGCGCGTTCACCGCCAAGTCTTTGGACGCGCTCAAAGAGCACTACCGAGACGGGCACCCCGCGGCCAAGGCGCTCAACGGCTTGATGTTCCTCCAATACGCGGCGC